ATAATAGGTACTACAATATACTCATTAGCTTATCTACCTGATATAATTATCATCAAGATAATTGAATATAAAAATATTTGTAATAATATACAATTTAGTAGTTATAATGAAATAGTTATAAAATAGCGATATTGATATAAAAATAAAACGAAGACCAATTAAAATGTGCAATTTTGTGCAACTTTGAAACAGATGAATAAAATGCTGATAATATTGTTTATTAAATATTTAACATTGTGTATAAGTACAATATACAATAAAATAAAAAAATTGAATTTCAACTTTAAAATTATTGACCCCGTAAAAAGAATTTAAATAGGTTATACACGCTCCGCGCGGCGGTAATACATAGTGGTGTTGAGCGCATGCGTATAAACGTAAAATCGCAAACTTTGGAAGGCTATAACTTCCAAAATAATGGTTTCCGCACAAAAATTCAAACAGTTTCGAAATCAGCGTTGAATAACACGTATTTTTAAAAAAAAAATCGGAATTTGTGAGGGGCGTGGTAAAGTGCATTTGTTCCAATAGCTCCCGGTAAAAATCTCACGGAAAAAAAAAGTCTCCAAATTACTATTTGATTTAAATTCTGTCTTTTATCATATAGGTATTTATTAAGTACATAGCCCATAGGTAAAACACGTTATATATTTGTATTGAAAATTATTAACAATCAACTAAATTAAATAAATACCTTTCTAGGATTAAAAATTATTGTAGATAAGTATATATATACATAATTAAATACATTTTAAATTTATTGAAAATAATATAATATCTTAAACATATAATAGTATATAAAATTTGTCAACCCAATTTATTTAGAAACATAGATATACCAGTATATAACAGTATAGAGGAAATATCGTTTTATTTATTCTACAATGAGAGACTTTGTTTCCGTGGGACTTTCTTACCGGGGACTTTTTTCCCGTTTACCGTATATACGTCATGACAATTGACAATATTTATACATACTTTTAGGTGCTACAATTGCAGAAGATGGTGGCTGGTTAGATGCAGCCTGCACCGTCACATTACAATTTTCGAAATGAAACATTCTACAACGAAAAATTAACATTAGTAAAGTTGTCAAAAAAAACAAAAAAAAAAAGTGAAAAATAAAATAAAGTAACGAGTACTCACTTCCACTGGTCGATGGCAAATAAATATAGAATTGATTCCACTGTTTAGTTTTGCCTTGCATTTTAGTAATGGTATTTACCGATGTTATTACCAGCACCGCGGGTCTGTCAAAATCGTTGAGCATTGACAAAAAGCTTATTAAAATTAAATAGGTAACATTTGGTAATACTGCTGTCACGTGGTGGCAGAGTAAACAGCGAAAAGCTCAGTGGACCTGGGCGGCTCTCCGCTCCGACTTCGGGCGAGTGCGACTTTCTTCCACGAGCGTCTGTGCGAAACGTTCGTTTTTACGAATTGCGTATACTACTATACAAATTTACACTCTTTTTTTTTTTTCTTACCTTTTTTTATCCTACCTATTTTTTTTTTTTACTACGTTTGGCGTTTTATAGACTAATGAGTACTATTTTTTTTATTATTTAAAGCTTAATTGTTCACCCCGTGTACTTATACATCATTACAGTTTATTTACTGCAATTCACACTTTATATTGGCATAATTGCAATTTAGCTCCCCCTCGCCATTTTGAAATTTTTTATCGAAACTTATGTAACTCATCGAGTTAAGAACGATGATGCAATCAAAATTTGTCGCTCTCACTTAATTTCGAAGTTTTAGCCTCCCAAAGCTAACGATTTAGACGCATACGCGCAACACTACTAATGCCGCACGAAGACCTCGAGTTTGGCGACCGGAGAACTTTTTTAGTTGTTTTTATACTTAAACTGTGTAACACTGTATTACGAAATAACTTACCCTGTAACCTACTTAAGGTGGTATTGCATAGCAAGTCGGGAGATATTTTTGATTTGCGGAGCCAGCGACGAGTGCCGCAAACTGTATAATACTGCCCATATACGGCATATACTACGACATAACTTTTTACTTTCCCTGTAACCTACTTAAGGTGGTGTTGCATAGCAAGTCGGGGGATATTTTCTATTTACAGAACGCAGCGACGGCGCCGAGTAGCGCAGCGACGAGCGCCCCAAACTGTGTAATCACTGTTGAGGTCCTCCGCGCGGTAATATAGTAGGTAGTGTTGCGCGCATGCATACAAACGAAAATTAAAAACTTTGGAAGGCCATAACTTCGAAACAAAGTGAGAGCAACAAATTTTGATTGCACCATCGTTCTTAACTCGATAAGTTACATAAGTTTCGATAAAAAAAATTCAAAATAGCGCGGGGGAGCTAAACTGCAATTGTTCCCGGGTTATGTATCCAATCCGCCATACACAAATGCCCTATAACTCATAGATTTCCATACAGCGACGATTGATAGCTAGACATTCCATTACAATTATTCGCAATTCCTAATTTCTTATAAAGTCAACAAAACAGAACAGGACATACAACGGGACATGGTATTACACCAACCGCAGGTAGATTGCATACCAGGTAATATACGCTTCACATATTGTCCGCGATCCGCCGCAGTCGGATTACCTACCTATGTGATTTGATGACTGATAGCTAGACAATCAAATACACATATCGATACTACAATTTTTAATAATTTCAACCTTCGACCATATAAACTAAGTTACTAAGTAACCATATAACTTAGTTTATATGGTCGAACATTTCAACAACCAAAAGCAGCTGACTAGAGATCCTGGAGATCATATCTATTTACAATGTTTGTGACGGATTGCTAGACGATCAAACTTTTAAATATTCCTGCCAATGCGCCAAGCCTTATCTCCAATCAATATCACTAGGGCAGAGGACTTGTAGCTCTAAAAAATCACCAAATATGCACTCAAATATAAAATATATGCATTATAAATATGCATTTAAAAATGAATATTTTTAAACGAAAAACAAAAAGTTTTCTGTAGGTAGGTACTTCTCTATTATTTTAATGAATAAATTGTATTTACAACTTTAACAACTTACAAGTTACAATAAATTATTTGAATAATTATTTGGTTTATTTGATGTTTTCTCATCTGGATACTTCTTCAAAACTTTCAACTTTCTACTTCTTCAACTACTATAAAACAATTGACAAAATATTTTTGTTTCAAATATTTAAGACTTACACACATTTTTACATTGGAAGTTATATTGAAAAATAAGATGTTTTTTCAAATTTTCAAATTGAAAACTTTTTCTATTGTCAGCTTACAGCACTTTGAACATTGAAAAAAAACGTTCAACATCAACAGAATTTATAGGACCATATTTAATATATTCTAAATCACCAAGGCTCAAGATTTCAGGTATTCTGACTATAATTGAAGTTTCTTCACCAGATAAAATTCTTAACACTTGAGCCAATATTTGTTAACTTTTATTTTTCTCTAAAATATTCATGTTCTCTTGAATAATTTACCCACTGTACCGGGTGCTTGATTTAATTTTAAAAAACTTCTTCAATTATTTTTATAGTGGTTTATATTTATTGGTGTTCACAATACTAACATGCGGCTTTTACCCACAATCCCCCTACCTTGTATTTATAGGTTCCGGAGAAAGTGAAAGATCATATAATGATCAACATTTTAAATAATTTTAAATTCAACTTTATTTTGGTTGTAAAAATAAATAAATAAAAACGTCTACTAAAAATATTGATAAAATGATAAATTATTTAAAATATGCATCTAAAAGTATAAAATGAAAAAAATATGCCTTAAAAACCAAAAATTGCAAAATATGCATTTATATGCACAATAGATTTTTAAAATTAGCTTCGTGGAAGCATGTAACGTATTTGTTTCGCACTCTGCTATTTTTGTGACTGTGCAAAAAAAATATGCAAATGCTACAAGTCCTCTGCCCTACATATCACTAATCCTAAACTTTTGACTTACAACCCTTGTGATTTTTATAATTCCAACGACATTGTCTCCGAAATCGGTACTCACTTACAAACAAACACTGGGGGGTCCGGGGGTCTCCCCCGGCTAGACCAAGGGCTAGTTTATAATATAAAGGTTACCATTACCATAACAACAATTTTAAAACAATGGAAACCAATAATTATTATTATAATAGCTTTGAAACCCACAGCAACCATTTATAAACCAAAATTTCCATCGGAAATCTCAAAATTCCTGTTTGAACACCTACTGGAGTTGGTCCTCTCTCTTTTTAAATTAGCCTATCTTCTGCCCAGAGCAGTGCCGGAGCAAGCGTCAGGGCACATGCCCCGGACCCTGCTATTTTGGAACCCCGTTATTTAGTGCTCCCACCTGAGTGAAACCAAAAACAAAATTAAGTTCATTTTTGATCATGAGTCTTAGTATTACTCAACACAAAATACCAACATACTACCTAAAATACCCAAATACAGTAAATTTAAATTGATTTCTACCAGTTATTTTCGTTGGATACGTTGAAAATATTGTGTTAGCTAAAACTAAAATGCTCGACGTTTTTATCGTCATTATCGCATTTGGTGTAGCCAATAATATGTATAATATGTATGGCTTTTCTTTTAAAACTGTTTAGATTTTGCATAATATTTTCAACAAAATGTTTCTATATATTTTTATTTTAATAATTTAACACATTTTTACAAACAAAATATTATAAAAAAAAAGGATTTACATTTAATTCATACAGCGAGATATTAGATTGGAATATATTTCTGAGGGTAAACAATCTTCAAAATGGCGACTATAGATATTATAGTACATTAATATAATATAGGCTTGTCAATATATTGTTTATGTAGAAAAACGTAAAACGCACTTGATCAGGCGAAAACATAAAAAAAAATTGGGTTCATTATATAAAATAATAAATAAAAAAGATGATTTCAATATCGGAATCCAAAACTGTTAAATGTACCTAAATTAATTGGAAATCTCAAAAAGTGCTGTATAATTAATTCCCCCTCCCCTACACATCGCCACTGCCGCAAAACCATATCACAACCGTGTCGTACGTGAACACAGATTGGAAAAAATAAAACAAATTACTGTAGACATTCGATTGAAACTCCGAGAGGGACAGGTCCTGTTGGATGGCCAACTGTATGTGACCCGCCAACAGTCTTTTGATGTCTATCAGAGCGTCTTCCATCCAGTCGCTGAGGGTGGTCATGCGGTTGCTGAAGAATACGCAGAATATCGACACACCGTTTTGCCGATATATCTGTACGGTACCCGAGCTCATGGGCATGATCTGTATGTCCTCCAACAACCTGCAACGGACGGATTAATAATATTATACCGAAAACTATAGTCGGATACGAGTAATTAACAATAATATTATAATTACTTCACGACAATGTAATTATATAATAATACATTAATACCTATACCTAATAGGTAATAACTACATTTTTATCATGTTTGTTTAAAGCAACAAAATAAATGAGCCCTGTGGAAAATTGTCCTCTTTCTAACGAAAAAAAATTAATAAAACGATGCGATGCGTGAGAGTTTTTCCTGTAAAGCGTGATTTGAGAAAAAAATCATGCATTTTATTTTTGGTCGGTGGTGCTGTTGACATGTGCGCACATGCAGTGCGTGCGTAGATAGTCTGGTACCAATGTACCAACATACAACCACACTCACTCTAATTATCATTGACGACTAACACAAATTCCATGGGCCACGGCAACAAAATTGCATATTGCCTAAATATTGCCCATCATTAAAGACACAAGAGAAGCAGGCCTCTTAAATCCTTAAAGTTAGATTTAAAAATGTAAGAAAGTCGTTTTCAAGTCAAATTGAAAAATGTTTTCATAAACATTAAATTTTATCTGATAAATGGGTTAGCCAGTATAATAATTTGTAAGAGATTGATTGTTTAAGAAAAATAAGTATTTGATATCCGTGTAACTCGTTATTGACAATATAATATATAATTATGAGTTTAAGTCTTAGACCGCTATTTCTTTTCCACTACCGGGCACTACTATCACACAAATACACAATATAATAATGATTTATATGATCAAAATTACTACTCATACATATTTTATACGACAAGCACGCATAAATAATTATTCTAAAATTGCCTATATTGAACCCCTCAAAAACCGTCTTTATCGAATCCTTTTAATAAATAATATTATTATTAAAAATATATACGTCGACATATTTTAATATTGTTGTAGTATTGAACAATGTAAACAATAATAATATATAACCCATTGCGTATTTAGATTTTAGATACAGTTATAAAATATAAACCATCATAATACTCTTTATTAAAAAATACTAAGCCGACTTCAATGCCTGTAGGTAGGGTAGCATCTGGGTTAAATCATCCCCAGTTAATTAATATATTATTTTATAATAATACCTATTTTTGAAAGGATAACGGTCGTTGACACGTTCCACCACTTCGTCTTCCCAATCGTCCATGTACATGATGTCCATGTCGATGAATAAAATAATGTCAACGTCTGTGTTTAGGTCCCACACATTTTCAGGTATCGTTTTAATCATTGGTATATTTGGTTGTTGCATAGCTATAACATACGTATATAATATTATTCATTATTCAACTAATCAAAAGAAAAGTGAATTTTATAAGTAGGTACAAGTGGTACAACAAATAACAGGTACCTATTCAAATCTGATTACGGTGTTAAGTATATACAAAATAAGTGTAACATTGTGTATAATAACTATAATTCCACTAAAAACAAAAAATAATTTTCTGACATAAATTTTGAAAAGTCCTATTTAAATAATATCAGAATAATATTGATAGAATATAGCTGGAACATCGTGTGCCCGAATTAGTTACAATTTAATAATCTTAAAACAACAAAATCTCGAGAAAAAAAATTATAATAAGTAGGTACTTATTATTACAAGTGGTACAATTGAGGCGCCTAGAACACAAGGGGTATAAGCGACATTATTTGTATTTCGTAATAATTAAGGTCAAAGTTAACACATTCTCTCAAATTACAATAAAGGATATTGTTTAATTTAATTATTAAATTGTTATCTGTACACAACATATCAAATAATTCACCTTTATCTCTTTACCACCAAATAAAATGAAAAATTCTTAGTTCAGCTGTGTACTTACCTCAGATTTTTTAAAAATGTCGCTTATACCCCTTGTGTTCTAGGCGCCTCAATTGTAATATATATTATTTATAACTTATATTTAGTGCACCGACATAAAGCGGTAAATAGTGTTCTTACTCGTCATCTCGCAATCGTCGTCAGATAGAAGCAGTTCGACGGGGGCTGTTATCTTGGGAACCGAAACAGGTGGCGATTTCGGGGTAAACGTCGTCACCGCTGGTAATATTATTGTTTTCGACGGTTTACGGTCGATGGCGTTATTTTTAGTGATAACTATAATATTATACAATAAAATAGATAGTCAGTATTTTATAATATATTAGTCATTGCTCATAATAGTAAAACAACTAATAAAAACTAATTCATATAGGTATTATTATGTCAAGCAAAATTTTAATTGGCTCTACTTTAATAACATTCTGAAATATTATTAGTTGTCGTGACGTATATGTTTCACGTCAATACAAATAACATTATTATTGCTTAATGCTTTGAATTTTGGGTTTCGTAAAAGGTTCTGCATGATAGTAGGCAGTGGCTGCGGACACTATACTTTTTATTAATTCAGATTGAAATAATAAAATATTATCTATCTCGTATATACCTATTAAATAATTTAAGTACATTATACGCATAACATTATTAACATTACGTCATGCCCGTGTGTGTTTGCTGTTGAATTGATGGTTATTATTAGAGACAGCATTTTTATGCACTTATAATCTTAAAAATAAGATGTTTTTATGCTTTATAATTTCATCAAAATAATATTTTATATGCATAGATATTCTTTTTTGGAAAAATATGATGATTTTTCATAAAAAAAGTATTAAATACTGAAAAAACAAATAAAAGCAACAGTTTAGGAAAGTTATAAAATAGTTAAATTAATTCTAATCTTTAAAAAAATATTCAAACAGTCGTATTTAGTCATAACGGACTAGGTTCTCGCTCTCCCGTTTTGACTCTCCTCGATACTAGACGTGAGTACGTGACTGAAAAACGACACAAATACTCAACGACACTGCGCTAAAGTGTTAAACCCGAGTCCTTAGTCTCTATACCAGCGTTTTCCAAATCATGGGTAACGACTCACGGTTACGATTAAGCTTATTTCAGTATTTTTATATTTTTTTATAATTTTATTTATTTATTTATTATGTATTATGTATCAAGTATTGTATTTTATAAAAATTCAATGATCAAATTAGTTATAATAAAAATACTATTTATTAAAGGCATACTTTATTTTTTTTTTTAGCAGGGGTCGCTTACCCAATAAATATTAAATTTATGGGTCGCCATTGCAAAAAGTTTGGGAAACACTGCTCTACACTCTGTGCAAGTTAAAGACTTGTGCGTAGGGGCGTGGAATTACAACACGGCAGGCTTACAGATAATCGACTGCGTGGGTGACATACGCGTGTTGCCCGATGAAAACTGGCCGTCGCCGATATAATAACGATACGTAGAAAAAAAAAATCAAAATGGAATGTTTGATTTGTCACACAGGACACGGTAAAATTAAAGTGACGTGACAAATAAAAGTACCTATCTGCTTATTATGTCTTTGGGAAAATTCTGCATAACTAATTGTAAACCAGCTCAAGAAACAGCGCACTACAGTATATATTATAATATGCCGTGCGATAGTGAAAAGTCACTGTACGACAACGATGAAGCGGATATACTACCCTTGAAGCGACGCTTGTAGCTGAACCCGTAGGCGGTGCGGACGCGTTCACGGGGCGAGGGAAACTGCCTCCGCTGGCCGCACAGCCACAACTCGCCGCTGTCCCCTCGGAAAACCGTCCGGAAAATGAGCTCGAAATCGTAAGTGACGGACCACGCCCGCCGCTGCTGCTGCACCGCCAGGTACCGGTAACCGACCAACCGGTCCCTGATAGTCCTCAGTCCAGTTTCAACGTCGGACGCTGTGCTGTCGGCTCTCTTTTTCATCCTCTCCTTGCTGTGGCTGTATAGTTTTGCGTTGCCACTTTCGTTTTTCCGCTGATGCCGCGGCCCGTTCAGCAACAAACAGCATATTGACTCGCCGTACACCGAATACACGAGCGCGCACGATTTTCCCGACACGTTTATAATGCTCGTCGTGAACCTGCAGAGCCGAACAAATTTTAAACATTTAATGTGTGCGTCAATGGTTGAATTTGACAAATTAGACTGATAACTAAACGTCGGGCGTAAATTATTTTAACAAATTGACAGTGTAGCACTCTATTAATAACAAAACAAAATAAAAAAGGAGGTATAACGCTCTGCTGAACATATTATTATAGCTTTCTAGAGGAGCCATACAACTGATGTGTTAAATTTAAATTCATTGATATAAAATCGATTCTAAATAGCTAAAAAATAGTCAAAATAGTTTTAATTTATTCATTATATTAATAATATATTAATTTTACTACGAATGGAAAATTCCAATACAAATATTTGGTGAAAATTTCAACTGTAAACGGTTAATAGTTTTAGAATTGCACCAAAAAAATTAAATCAACAATTGGAATTGAGTACAAATTTTTCCGAATGCACCAACTAGATTCTCTTTTCTATTATAAAAGATGCTGATGTCGAAAATCAGAGCATTTTTATAGTACAATTGTTGATGACAGACAGTAAAAAAAACACATCTATTATACGTGACATAGTTCAAAAATATAATAATATATACTATACGTCTATACTTGATGATATATAGAAATTGGTAATTTAAACATTTGGTGAAAATTCAAAGTGTTTACAGTTATTAGTTTTTAGTTACACCAAAAAAACAAAATTGACTTTGTCGAAAACTATTATAGTTATGCGTAAAAATACCTGTCTAAAGTACCAACTATATTCACTTTCCCACCAAAAAAGTTGTTGTACCTACTAGAAATTCGAATCATTGTTAGTGCCCCAAAAGGTAATGACAGACACACAAAAAATTCTATATTATAAAATCAATACATTCATCGCTCTGTATACGGTACTATGTGTAGTAATAAATAATGTAGTATTATACTATAGGTGTATACAGTTATCACTTGTCAGCTATAACTTATAAATATTTAAAAATATTTATAAACATTTAATTTTAGATATGATGAAATATATATAATACTATTCTAATTTAGGATAACGTAAAAAATTAATTTTAAAATGCAGTAATAATTACTAGTAATAAATTAAATAATTAATGTTAGCCGTCTACTAATTAAAATTATACTAGGTACATAATATTCAATACCTAAAGGTACCTTATATACATGTGTCATTTAATGAGGCACTTTAATTCTAGTGTATAAATTGATGATGAAACTAAAATTAAAAATATTTACAGCTCTTGGAATGGATATTTGTCATTAATGCGACGAAAACATTCGTCCTTCCAGTAGTTTCTATTGTAGACGTCATTTTTGTCAATAAATAAAATAATATCAAATCCTCTTTCCATTTCCCAAATGTTGGTCGTAGTTTTTATTATCAATGACATTTTTATTTCACTAAAAATAAGAATACACTGTACAGTTCGATTTAATAATTGATATTTGAACGATGCGCGATATAAAATTACGTCAATAACTCTAAGAAAATGTTTGAACAGTATATAATTTTTTTTTAATAAACTCAGATAACAATAATTGGTAGGCAGGAACAAATATGGCAATAATATACACGTAGAAATTAAAACCATATTATTGAAAATTGATTACCGATTTTTTTTTATTATTATATTCATTCCTATTCAGAATGATTGAAAAATTAAATAATAAATTGTAAAAATTGACATAATAATTTTACCGGATGACTTGAATGAAAACACAGTTTCCGAGTTTTTGGTAATCACTTTCAAATTTCTATAAATTAATGTTGATTGGTGTTCAAATTTTTGTGGAGAAAAATTTAAGAAACTAAAAAAAAATGTTCAAGTATTTTGTAAGTGAAAGATTGCAATTGTTCAGACGTTCAGTTGAGAAAAAAATTAAGAATTAGTTACACGGATATCTAATATATTTTATATGATTAAGATCATGATACCTATAAAAATCATTATTAATAAAATTGTTATATCATGATTAAACTCAGAGATATAATTACCAGTGATATTATAAAAATTAATAATGTGGAATAATGTAGTATTATTTATTTCGTAAATCCACGGATTTAATCAATGGCCATAGAATATCTATGGCGATTGTTGTAACCTCCGTTTCCATATGAAATTAATAACCTTTTTAAAAAAATGTATCTATATAAAGCCAATACACCTATTATATGCCTATATAAAGCTACCACTTCGCTCAACTAAAAAATGTAAAGATACATACCTA